AAACTGCACAGGGGCTAACCGTCCCGGAATTTAGCGTTGTAAGTCCGTAGATTTACTGCTATCCCACCGGAGAACAAATATATATATTTGGTTTGGATTTTGTTAACTACAAATCTAAACAATGGGCTATTTGTAATCTGCTCAACAAGGGTATCGAAGCCTGGTTTTTAGCGTTGTAAGCCTGCAGACTTACCGCTGAACTTCTGGGAGGAGGACTATTATTTAAGAATCTAATTAAGTTAAGATTACGTCTTTTGATAGAAAAAGGTTTAATTTTTCTGACTTGAAATGAAGAATTTCTGAACTTACTGCACTCTGAAATTAATATTTTCTGGAAATCTGAGACAGCCCCAAAAAAATGAAACTTAATAATAATAATAGAATGACATTGATAACTTGACACAAGATGGCACTAACTATCTTTCTGTCATAAAACCGAAGACGTTTGTTTGTTTGAAGTAAGCACAAAGCTACACAATGGGCTATCTGTGCTCTGCCCATCACGGGTATCGAAACCCGGTTTCTAGCGTTGTAAGTCCGCAGACATTCCGCTGTGCCACTGGGGTCAATAATTCTCTCTGATATGCCACTGTTTGTTCTTAAATGTATGTTCTTATATGGACCTAATATATAGATGTAAAATTAATGGTTTCAAAGTATAGTTACTACTATTTAGATGTAAACCGATAAGCCCTTAGTCCTGTGGTATTTTCTGTCTGACTGAAATGAGAAAAATACCATGTTATGGAATGCATATCTGTTAATTTCTCCAATCTATAATTGAGTTTTCAGGAAAGAAGGAAAATCTAAGTTATAAGATTATTAAAAAGTAACAATTTAGACACTTCAAATAACGTTAAATTACAAATATAAAATCAAGGGAGTAGTTGTAATAACTATTTTAATCAAATCTTTAACATAATATGTTGCCTGTCTCTGATCAGTCTAACTTCAAGTTTTAAGGCTTTTTATTTTCTTGCCAGACCATAAGATTATATGTCACGTAAATAATTAATATTTGTTTCATATAATTCATTATGAACTTAATATCAATATGTCTCTGCTTGGGGAACCAGGTGTTGGTGTCATCACCATAAATGTATATATTGTTGTAACATTGTTCTTTCTTTAGCAGGTCCTTTTAAACTACTTGTTGAAAAATAATTCAAAATCTAGTCCACATTTATGTATTCCTCAATGCTTTTTTTTTTTTTTTTTTTTTTAGTTTTGAGCACTATAGGAACTCTTAGGCCACGTTTACATATGACGTTAACGGTACTACACTAAATCAACTTGTACAAAGTAACTCAATATGCGCAATGGCTAACACAAATTTAAATATTTCATCAAAATCGGAACAAGTTCGAAACAACTATACTGTCTTTATCTGGACCTCGTATTTATAATACACTCTGGAATGTACTAGAAAATTTGACGTCAAAGTCTAGAATATTCGAGTTCTTCTCCCACAGAGTTACTTGATCTTTACATCATGCGTCATGTAACTAACAACCAGTTACATTAGAAATATAGCTTATATTATAGCAAGCTAATTGTTTGTTTCCTTTGAATTTAGCGCAAAGCTACACGAGGGCTATCTGCACTATCATCACTGCCTACCACCACTCTTGGGTTAATCTTTTACCAACGAATAGTGGGATTGACCTATAAAAAGTAGATGGGATAATGGTTAGCAAATATCCGGGGTTCGATTTCCCGCTGTAGACAGAGTGAAGATAACCCATTGTGTAGCTTTGAACTAAGAAAACAAGATCAGCTAGTGTTTAACTTTAAAGCAACTAAAATATAGCTGAAATCAGCAATAAAAAAGGAGAAATTCATGGACAATAAATAAAATTGTAACTAAAACTAAAATAGAAACTGCTACCTCACAGCCCCCTAATGGCACAGCGTTATGTATGCGGACTTACAACGCTAGAATCCGAGTTTCGATACCCGTGGTGGGCAGAGCACAGACAGCCCATTGTGTAGCTTTGTACTTAATTACAAACAAACAAACAAGCTACCTCACAAGTAAACGCGAAGTTTTATTTAGGTTTCATTACGTTGTTAGACGGTAATGGGTCAGTGAAGGAAGATGAGATTTTATTATAAAACAAAACTTTCACTACGAGTTTCATCGACATTTTTGCAGATGGCGCGTCTGACACAGTAAAACTTTGAGTATTGTGTTGGAAGGTGTAATTGTCATAGGATATTTTGATTTGGTGTTTTTTAAATTTATTGAGGATTTGCACATGTTTTTATGTGTGTATAAACCAGCATTTTACGTAAGTTCGTTACTTTCTGGTGATGTTTTTTTTTAAAATTATACTTCTACTGTAGCAGCAGTGAATCGCTCAATCAGTGAGTGAGACTCTTATTGAGTTATTCTTACTCTTTCTATATAATTCTAATTTAGTACGATACTCTTGTGATAATAAAGTGACAAGATTGATATAAATAACAACAACAAAAATCGTAAGTAATAAGCCAATGATAACACAGGCCTGCGAACTTAAACTTCATGAAAGTTGTTTTGGTTTTAATAACGGATTTTCCATTATTCAGCTACGCAGATTTCGAAAATAATATTCTTTTTTTTTTTCTATCACGTAAGGATATTTTTGCAATTCGGGAAGAAAAAAAAACACTCTTACTTAGATCAAATTATTACTTCGTTTACCACAATGAATATTTTTTATTATTATATTCGGGTTCTAGAATGATCAATAAGACTCACGTTGCGATTGGTCTAGAGAAATCTGTAGCCAGTGGTTGTCAACATTTTAACTTAGCATGTGACCCAATTTCAATGAAAATGATTCATTTATGTAAAAGTACATATGATGTTTTGGGAAAAATCTGTAAGTGATGGAGAAAAATGGATATCATTTTCGGATTTAGTGTACAGGAATTACTGTAAAACATATAAAAATTTCAAGACAATAAAACTGTTGCAGGCCTGTGTAATAAAGGATAGTTGTAAAACCTTAACATTTACATATTAAGGATACAAGTGACCTGTTGTTCCACTGAGGCTGTTCCATCCACCAAACTAAAGTCTTTAATGTTGTCTTTATGGGTGCTTTTTTTTCTCGTGTGTAGTAAAGATGAGAGAAAAAGCACCCATAAAGTCAACTCTTATCATTTAAAGTTAGATGTTTATCAAGCCTTCCCTTAGAACCTTCCTGAATTTACTGTATCTGCCAAATCTGAAGGCAATTCATTTCAAAGGTCAACTAATCTAATTTTTTAAAAATTATTTATTATAATTTAAAGAATTTTAAACACAAGTGCCGGTAGTGCATATTTACTTTCTAATTGTTTGAAAAATAAAATTGCATTAGCTGTAGATGACTTCTCCCTGTTATAACATTACTATGACTCTATTTTTTTATAATTTTATCTCTTGTTGACACTTTTTTTTAAATATATCAGTTTCACAACACATAAGTTGAAGGAAGTCTGAAAACCATGTTATGGTATTAAGATAAATTTGTGAAGTCTGTATATAATTTATTCTAGTAATACTAATGCATTTTTTAGTTTAAACTAATAAATCAATATTGTAATGTCCCCAGTTTGAATTAAATTTAACTGTTTACTTAAATATTCAGTTGATATATCTTCTTTGATTTAGTTTCCAAAAACTAAAGAATATTGGATTGTCATCAGTACCTATATTGTCAAAAAAGAAAGTTACAGTCTTGATCTACATGTATTCAGAACTTCGACCCATTAATGTTTGTTATACTACACTACAGTTACATAGTTTTCACTCTGCTGTAGCAGTGTGTAAGCATATTGATATTATGCATTATAACCTGATCCCAATAACTGGTGCATTCTTTTTTAAAAGTAGGAAGGCCTAGAGATTTATTACATTCCTATAGGAATTATAGGGTCTGTATGTACTTAAAATTGAATCTTAGTAAGCAGGAAATCATGCTTAGCAATTTCAAAAATTAGAAAGTTTCTAACTTACAGGTGTTTGTATTATTTGCACTTTACTGCCTATGCCAGTAACTTTCAGTCATTCAGATGACAAGTAACATCCTTAAAAAGTTAACAGGATGATTGGTGTATGGAATGAGTTACCATTGGCAGTATTGGAGGCCAGCATTTTGCAGAAATTTATAGGGAAGTTGATGATTTTCGGAAAAACAAAGGGTGGGTTTAATTTTGAAATTTCAAATTGTTGTCTGTTTTTGATAAAAAAAATTATTAAGGAAAGATTTCCTTATATTGAATCTATGTTGGTTCTTTCTTAGGATATCATATTTCACTAACTGAGTTCACCTTTAAAAATAGGAATAACTTCAGCAAATCTGCCCATTGTCTTATAACTTCCAATAATGAAGAAAAAGGCTTCCATATCTGATCTTTGACCTTTTTAAAACTCTAGGGTTGTCTGGTTAGTTTTTTGTTTTTTTTACTTACCATTACAGTATTAAGATATACATGATTCAGGTCAGTACAGATATTTCCTGTATAATACTCAGGATCAGAAATATTGCTAACATTCTTTGTTATGTTAGCAGAAAAGAACAAAACATTTAAAACTTAGCTATGTCATAGTTTTGAACAAAATCTTTTCAGCAACATCCCTTAAGGCACAGTCCATATTCCAATATTTTTTTTATCTTTAAAACACTTATGAAAAATCCTTGTTATTAGTTTTAACACTGTCAATCAGCTGTTTTTCATAAAAACTATTTGATTTCCTAATTGTTGTTTTAACAATCCCTACCTTTATGATAATTATGTACTTAAATTTTCCATTTTTTCAGTCAATTTAAGCTCCTTAATCTTATTTATATCACATTTTCTCAATTATGTCAATTAGGTTTGACCTTTGTTGCCTTTCTTTTTAGGAAAATGGCCACCAGGAAATAAAAGTAATTTATTCTTAAAAATTCCCAATTTAAATTACATCAAAATTGTATTTCTGAAAACTTAAGAACTTTCATTTTCTTGGTCTCCATATATGGAAATTCTGAGAACTTATGAGTGAAAGCAAAGAAGAATATGTAATAATATGTCAATGATATTACATCAAACCTGAGTATGCAGTGATTAATTTTCCCTAGATTTAGTTCCTTGACCATTTGGTGTAGAAAACCATCCTGAATTACTTAAAGAATCCTCGTTTTCTCACTACTTTACTCCATATAATCATAATTAATATGTGCAAAATTGAAGTCTCCCATGCTCGTTACATCAGTATCCTTTTCAGTAATAGCTCTGATCTCATAATACTGTTTCTCATTCACATCATCTTTCTTATTGAGCAACCAGTAACAATTACTGGTTAAAAACTTTTTACCTTTGAACCCCCTGATAGTAACCTGTATAGATTCAATTGCTAAACTATCATTCTTTTTCTTTAGTTCCCTTTTATAAATTAACTTAATCCCTTTTAATTTGTGGTTTTAGAATAATTCTTATTATCAGTGTTCTCTAATCTAACAGTTTTAGTAATTACCATTATGTCTTAGGCTTCTATTTCATCTTTGTTTTGTTCCAGTTAGTTCTAATATTTGAATAAAAGCAACTAGGTTTATTATTGAAATTTACTATATACTAATCTTTAAACCTAATAAACTTATTTTTAAAATTATTAATTCAAATTTTCTAAATCTTTTACTTTGCCATAGATATCCTATCAATTTGTTTATTTCTCAGTTTGCCAAACTCTGGCCCTCTCTACTATGCACCTTTAGTTTAAACCCCTATAATGAAATTCTTTAGAGCTTCCCCCAAACACCATACAACCTAGCTGCTTCATTGGAGCCTGTCTCTAGCATATAATTTATCCTCACCATGAAAACTGTCCCACAGGTTCAATCAGCTTACTTGTTGCTGTAAGTATATCCCCGATACTTTTTCGTTTAATCTTAGATTCTGTCAGGTAATTCATTCATACACCTAATTTGAGGGAATGCTCCCAAAAGAGCCACATATCTATTTGAGTCCTTAAACTTTTGGAAGAGATTATTCAACTTTGTAAGTAGCTCTATAATTTCCAACATCATTAGCTCTTACACATACTAGAAAAAGAGAATGCTCCTTGAAACCAGTAATTAAATTACCTACATATATAATATCCTGTATAATATTCTAGACTTTCTGTGCTTCTCACTTCTAATTATTTTTTTGGTATACTTAATGATAGTCTTCCATTATATAAACTTCTTAATCATCTCCTTTCTCATTGCAAACAGCCAAAGACTGGTACATGAAATGTGCTTCTACAGACCTAATATTTTTACTATTGTGCACCCTTTTCAATCTAACACTCTGATTTTCATCCAACTTCAAAGCAACTATTACCCTAAAACTTCTTCTTTGTAATGACCTAAATCCCAACAAGTTTGGGGTCAGCTGTTAATTTTGCAAGCCAAGAATTTTTTATACCTGGTTGGCCGGACTAGATGGCAAGCATATAGGACAAGCATGTTCAGTGATGGGGATTCAAACTTGTAACTATCAGATCAGGAGTTAAGTGCCCTAACCATCAGGCCATGCCAGATCTAACTTTTATCTTAAAACTATATGTATCTAGTTTTTGTCTTGCAGTCTTGACTTCTACTTAAGTAACCAATATTTGCTGATTCAATGACATCTCAGCTATTTATTGTAAGAAAAGAAATAGAAAAAGCCGTAGTAAAGATGTTACTTGGAAATATCATAGTGGTTCTTCACCACATGTAACAAAAAAATAAAGCTAAGACTTTCTTGTCTGACTGTAAAGTATTAGGTTGTCAAGAAATTAATGTCCCTTTTTTTTAGATGAAAAAAACCCGAACAACTTATATATCAAAACAAAACATTTATTAAATGAAATAGTCTCCACTCTTATT